GGATATTAATAAGGTGGGGTACAAATATGAGCCTTTTATTCTAGCCATGCAAGCTAAACAAGTGTTCTATGTCACTGATCTGACAAGTACGAAATGGTCTATAGTTCTTTTTTCCAACAAATTAATCGATAATAACATTGGAGATCAGGGTGATGTTGATGTTGAGAAGGAATCTTATATTATAGATGATCCAAATGAGAATATTAGAGCGGACGAATCATATATTAGAAATGATCATAACGAGGGAATTTGGATCAATCCATTCGTCCGTTTTGTTAAGAGACAAGTAAACCAAATTCCAACGAAGAAAAGAAAGAGATGTTAGTGATAAAGGTACTTGTAAAATTACATATTGTCTCATTCAATAAAATTACATATCATATCATGCAATAAAATTACATATTATGTCATTAAATAAAATTATATATATGTTTTTCTTATTTATATATTTATTTTTTACATATTTGTCATTCATTTGATAATTTGGTTTTTCTGAATTACAGGTATTATGGCCACCAACGAGGAAAAATCACATGATGGAAACGAAACAGCACAAGACGTGGAAGGCGATATTAAAAGAGGAATAACGATTATGAAAACAATCATCCGTGCGAGAGATAAATGTGTAAAGTATGATGTGCATTAGAATGAAAGAGATCAATTAATTGAGCCTAACAGTGCGATGCTGACAAGTTATATTGGAGCACTTGTTCGTTCACAAATTCTAGTTACTTGCGATAATTGGAGAATTCCTTCGTTACAACCGGCTAAAGACAAATTTTGGAGCGAGATACAAGTATGATATTTGATATTTTTTAATTATGTCGACGGTTACATCTTTAAATTAATTATACTAACATACTATATGTATGTTTATTTGTTTGCAGAGATCTTTTAATATTGATGATCGCAGGAGAAAATATTATCTTCAATTGGCCGGAAAACGACTGAGAGGATTTAGAGCGTTTTTAACGAACAAGTTTCTTAAAGATTCTGATGGAAGTTTTGTCGAATCATAGCATCCAAAGAAGTATGCTGATCTGATTTCAGATGAAGAATGAGAGACATTTGTTGCCAAAAGAAGAACCAAAGAATTTTGCATAAGTACAACTTATCATGAACAATGTATAATATATATACTTCTTCCACAAGAGTTCTGATATGACTTAAACTTGTTTTTTCAGGTTGTGAGTGACGTAAATCAGCAACAGGTATTAAAACCCGCGTATCCATACAAAAAAGGGCGTTTGGAATATGCACGCTTACAACAAAAAATAGTAAGTATATATAAATGCTTTAATATGATATAGTTACAAAAAATAGTAAGTATATATAATGGGATATGAATGCTTTATTATCTGTCTTAATGTGTAGTTAGAAGAGGAGAAAAGTGATGCAACATCTCTTCCGGACCATGTTTTGTGGAAGACTGCCCGTGTGGGAAGAGATGGAGTCATTCAGGAAGAAGTTCAACAAGTATTTGAACAATGTGTAAGTACAACATTAGTTATGTCATAAACTCAAAAGTGTATAATATATTTATATATGCTTTTATCTATATTTCAAGAGACTCTATCCCAGACTATAAATGCAGCTGAGGACGATGGTTGCAGGAGCGTACTGAGTCAAGTGTTAAATATTCCTAAGTATTCTGGGTTCAAGATTCGCATTCTTATCTGCTAGTTGTATCAACTCACGATTAATCGATCACACTCCAGATGTAGTCAAAGATTACAAAGTCCAAGCATTTATGGCCGCAACTACAGAGAAGTTGTACTTGTTGCCATATAATACTGGCCATGGGTTAGATTTCATTCTAAATTCATTTATTATAATTATTCGTTTTTTGCCATTCTATATAATATTTCCGTCTAAGCTTTTGTCTTATTATTTTACAATGGACACTGGTTGTTGGTCGCGATTAATCCGATGAAAGAAATAGTGTATTATCTGGATTCATTGGATGGTGATCAAACAAAATATCCTGATATGAAGAACATGGTTGATAGTAAGTGATGAGATATATTGTTCTGAAAAATTATCTTTATTTATTATGTGAGATTGTTCTAAATATTCATTTATATTATGTTAGAGCTATACAAATATTCCGATCACAAAGAGAAGCAACAATGCCAAAAAGGAATGCTAACAACATTAGCTGGATCAGAGTGCGGGTATATTTTCACTTTTTTACTGTTATAGTGATTCTACTTGATAAAACTATTTAAACTATATATCCTGATAAATGTTCGTTAGTTTTTTCCATTTACAGTGTCCTCGTCAGCGCAATGAGATTGATTGCGGATATTTTGTATTGCGCTTTATGAAGAAAATTATTCATTCTGGTCAAATAGAGATTCCAATCATGATATGGATCAATTTATAAGTTATATGATTTATTTTAATAATTAACTGATATTTCATCTGAGTAATTAATTTTAAAACTAAATTGTGCATGTTCTGTTATATTATGTAGTACTTTGATGAATTCAAGTGTGGTATTTACTCGAAAGCAGGATTGGAAGAAATTAAGGAGGAATGGTGTCAATACATTCTTGAATTGAGAATTTTATAAGGTATATGTATCGTCAAATATTGATGCGGGATAATAATATTTTTGAAAGTCGTATGTAGTTTTGGCGCTATATAAGCAGGTGAATGTAATTGTTATAAGCAGGTTTATCAAAAAAAATATAAAAAAGTGATTTTTTTTTATAAATTTTTTTTAAAACGTGAAGAATAGACAACACTTTTAAGAAAAAGCGTTGCTATAGGGGTGACCTACGATAGCGCTCAAGAAAGCGCTGCTATAGGTGGAAGAATAGGCAGCGCTTTTCAAAAGCGCTGCTAAAGGTTGGGAATAGGCAGCGCTTTTCTTAAGAAAGCGCTGCTAAAGGGGGGGGGGGGGGTAGGGGTGAATAGGCATCGCTTTTAAAAGCGTTGCTAGGGGGGATATGCAGCGCTTTTATGGAAAAACGCTGCTAAAAGTGGGCCTTTAGCAGCGCTTTTTCCATAAAAAGCGCTGCCTTTACCTTTAGCAGCGCCACTTTAGGAAGCACTTTTAAGCGCTGCTAAAGGCCAAAAAAAGCGCTGTTAAAGGTCTCTTTTGACATAGTGAAAATAAAAAATCTATAAATCGAGGAAAGTCTTGTATGGTCCATCTATCAAATGAACGTCAAGTCATGATTCTTGAATGATCCATTTGAAGAAGTGTATGTAGTACAAATTCTTGATTTAGTTATCAAAGGTCAAGAATAAGAAATCTACAAAAATCGAAGAAAGCCTTGTATAGCCTTAAGTAGGAACCTATGGCTTAAAACAAGTGGATTGCTGTATTTTTAAAAGAGATAGGCTTCAACATGTATGTATCTAAACATGGAGTGTATATCAAGAAAAAAGCAAAGGAAGGAATGATCATCCTTTGTCTTTATATTGAAGATCTGCTTATTACGGGAAATAATTAATGCTGCATTTGAATTTTTATGAATGACCTAATGAAGGGTTTTGAAATTGTATATCTTGGCCACATTACATACTTCCTTGGCATTTAATTTCAGAAGACAAGCTAAGAGTTCCTTATGCATCAAAGGAGGTATGCTCTTGAAATTCTGAAGAAGTTTGAGATGAAACATTGTAATCCTTCCATAACACATGTGTAACCAAGGATACAACTATCAAAAGAAGAGGATGATAAATGAGTTGATCCAGTAATATATAGAAGGTTCATTGGATCACTGAGATACTTGTGCAATACAAGAACATATTTAGCATATAGTGCTGAAACTATGAGTAGGTTTATGGAGATTCCAAAAGTGTGTCACTTAGCTACAACCAAAAAGATCCTTAGGTACATTGAAGGATCAATGGAATGTGGCATCTTGTTTCAAACACTTGATAAGGAAAAAAATCCAAGTTACTTTGATACACTGATTGTTGTGGTGACAAGGATGATAGGAAATTAATATAGGGTACATTTTTCTCTCTGAAGAAGCATCAATATCTTAGTGCTCACGGAAATAACTTGTTGTGATACTATCATCATGTGAAGCTAAGTACATTGCACCATCTTTATGTGTTATTAAGTTGATGATTTTGATACAATAATTGTGCAATGAGAAGTATGATGAGGTGACATTGAATGTGTCTGCTATAAACCTTACTAAAAATTCCGTTACTCATGGGAAAAGTAAGTACATATAAATGATGTTTTATGACTCGTGGGAGAAAGTGAGTGAAAAAAAATTGAAGTTGAAACATTTAAAAAGTGAAGATCAAATGACTGACCTACTAACCAACGGTGTAACAACAGTGACATTTAATAGATTGAAGAAATTAATAAGATTGAAAACATTAAAAAATTTGAAGTAAGTTAATGTGTTAAAAAACTTATAATTCAAGTTTTTTGGTAATCGAATACCATATAATGATACTCGAATCCTAAATTGTAGTATTCGAATACCATTGTATGATTTTGTTTTTGTTAATCAATTAGTTGAGATTAGTGTATATAAGAATTCAAATCAATAAGACTCTTCTTTTCTTGTTCCAAGAGTTGTTTATGATGATCTTCCTTCTATAATTATCTCAACAAATAATATACTGCTTTTTGTTTAATTTGATAATCAATGTATTTAATATAATATAAACATAAAATATATATATATTTTTTATATTGATTATTTATAATACTTTTAAGTGAGAAAAAAAATATAATGAGGATTAGAGGAATACTAATGTGTACTACTATGAGAGAGAAAAAAAAAAAAGATACAGGTAGATATGTGCATATTTTACAAATGATTCTGTCAACCTAACATATCTAAGGTAAGAATAAGCTGATTTATATATGTGCCAAAATCATGCAGCACACATAACCCCACCCTCTACCAAAATTAAATATTACAAAGTTACAAAAAATAAAAAAGCTATGATTCTCATCAAGGTTTAGAATTTAGATGATCCAGCTATGCATGCAGTCCCATCATAAATATTTTATAATTTTAATTATTGTTAAAGATTCTTTGTCCTGGTGATAGAATCATTCTTGGATCAAACTGATATTTTCTTTGTACAAAACTTTTCCATTTTTTAGGTCCAAAATGGTTTCTCCACTCTTCCTGTGTGCTGTAGTGGGGAAGATATAACTTATACTTAATTTCAGCATCTTTGCAAAATTTCAAAATTTCTATGTTTTGTGCATCAAAGGCTTTCCAATTATCAAATCCACTTGAGTGCAAAAATCCAACTGCATAAAAGATTTCATCCTCATCATCTGGTATTGTTGCTGACATCTTATTGTCCCACCTGAAAAAAAAATAAAAATGATTAATTAATGGAGAAATTTTATTAACTCTGATTCTTATTAAATAAAAGTGTTTTTTTTTTTAATTTATTGAAGAATCAATGTATCTAAATTATATAAACTTCAGACACATTGATTTTTCAATTAATCAAAAATATAATTTTTTTGTTTTATTAAAGACTAGAACGAGAAGGTTTTAGTTTAATTAAGTGCTTACTTGTTTCTATTCATGGGATAAACCAAGACAGGTCCTGTGGTGATGTTTCTTTTTGGAATTATGTTCTTGAAAACACCTGAGTTAAAATCCATGATTCTTGATCTTGGTATGAACATGTTAAGCCATGGATGAGGAACATCCCATAATCCTTGTGATTGAAGCTTTAACTCTCCACTTCTCACTCTATTCAAGAATTCAACAAATGATACATTTTTTTGATAGTAAAATCCAGGGATATAGTTTAGTCCTTGGACCAAAGTTTGAATTTCCTACACAATATGAAAAAGAAAATTAATTAGCTCAATAAACAATCTAACCTATAATCTCGTTAAATCAATTCGATTGATAGTAGCATAAAGATTTCAAATACAGCGATGTATATCTGAATCATCGACACTCCACTTATTTTTTAAGGGTTAAGTTCTGATTATTAAACTACTAAAAAATGATTATGATTCAATGTAGTGAGTGAGAAAACATTTACGAAATCATAGATTTCTAATAGTTGAATCGAGATGAGACGGATCATAACTCAAAATCAATATTTTTTGTTTGTTTTAGAAATTAAAATAATATTACATTTTAAACGGTCTATAAATATTTTGACTGTGTCAATGCATATTTATACCGTCAAAGATTTGTAATATTTAGATCGAGATCAAATGAATTATATTTCAAATCAATATATTTTATTATTATAGAACTTAAACTTGTATTACATTCAATCGGTCTAATGGTCTAATCTCAATCTAACGATTATAAATATTTTGATTGCGTGAATCCGGCATTTGTTTTCATAAAATATATAATAATAAAAAAAGTAATAATTAAAAATAAAATGTACCTTGTTGATGGTGTTTTCAGAGTGGTGATCATAGTATTTGGCAATTTCCAAACAATAGAGGACCCTATGTTGAGTAACTAGGGAAAGTATCCTCTTATGGTCGGTTAAAGGGAAGAAAGAAGATCTCCAATTATTTATGGGTCCTTGATGCATCAATACCATCCCTTCTAAATAATCCAATTTCCCATTTTTCCTTAAAATTAAACTTTCTTGATCTTTAGTAAAAACTGAAAAATCACTGTACAAAAGCCTAATCCATTTAACCTGCATGGCAATAAAAAAAATTCACCATTAATTAGTAAAATATCTAAATATTATTTCAATACTTTATAGCTTTTTTTTCTTGCTTTTAATTGATTCTAGAAGCATTATAGTGGAAACAAAAACATAGTCATGCACATGTAAAGAATACAAAATAAAGGACAACGAGGACAAAGGTAATTATATGGCCCTTTTTATTGACACAATCACTTATAATCGCTCATCTCTACAGTCACAATCATTCTAAAAGTTCTTGTCAAAATTTTCTCCTTTTTTCAAAACAACTATTTAATTGCTTTCCATCTTATGAATCTCACATTATCTATATACATGTGGCCATAACTCAATTGTCTCATATTTAATTTTTAGTTGTTCATGGCTGAGTAAAAGACTACACTACAAGGACAATTATTAGATGCTCTTGTAAAGTTTGATTTTGATATATGGTTGAACAATTAATGCGACAACATCAAGAATTGGGTTTTATATGAATGGTTGGAAGAAGAAGATAGCAACAAGACAAACAAAAACTAATCTATTTTTTTTCTTTCTATTTTAAAAGTGTACTTACCCTCTTTGGTGCTACCTCAAGAGCAATTCTTGCCTTTGTTATTATTCCAAATTGTCCTAAACCTCCAAGGACACCATGAAATAATTCTGAATTCTTCTGTTTAGAGCATGTTACAAATTCTCCTTTTCCTGAAAAAAAAGTACCATACAGTAAAACTTTATTAAGTTTAAATTAATTATTTGATTAAAAAATATTTTATAAATATGTATCATCATATGGTCATATAAATACATATAAATATCATATATAATAAAGAGATATATGAATATTTAATATAAATTTTGTATACATATATATAAACTCTTAATTATATATATAATTTTATATGACAGTATAATATATAATAAACAATAAAAATAGTTGCATGCATACAAATTCTTTAACAAACACATGGGTAAAATTCAAAATATTAATTATTTTAATTAAAGTCATTATAGTTAAGGAATTGACCTAGGTAGACTTGGACCAAACAATGTACAAAATCAAAAGTCTATAAAATAAAAAGAAAAAAATAGGAGTAGACTATGTCGACAATGTGAACTGAGTCTATAGTTTAGAATTTTTCAAAAACATGACCTGGTGGAAATAGCTTATTAACTTATCCAAAATATCCGAACAAGAATCTCTTAACAACCACGAAATTTGGTAGTAATAGTAAATAGAGGAGTAATACTGTTCTAAAAGAAGAAGAATAAAAATCCAAAATTTTATAATAAAAAAAATAAATAATAGTTCAGTGATGGAATCTAACTAAAACAGATTATTTGCTTAAAGCTTAACAAATGTCTTTTTATAAAAAGAAGCTAGAAAAGTTTTCCTTTATATGTCACTGTGCATTGTAAAGCCAAAATGCACATGGAAGTTCGTTATTTTCTCCATTTCTATCTGCTTTTTTTTTCATCTAAATCAAATTGATCGTGACACAACTTGTCCATCCAAGATTTTAAATAACAGATCGCGGACACATTATAGTCGGATAAAAGCTTCCGTGATTGCGATCAATAAAGATGTTGCAATGTTCATTGCAGTCTTCGCAGTATGAATTAACCACACAACATGTTTTTTATCACAAAAACGATCAATATAGTAAAACCCTAATCACAAATAATCTCAATAAAGTATAGTATCAAATTGTCATTATAAAATATACTTAAATGTCAAAGGTTGAAAACCAACGTCAGGGTTTTTGAACCCTAGATCTTCCGGGTGTTTGTATGAGTTTTTAGCAGTTATTATCACTTTCTCTGCGTAATAAAAAAATATCGAGATGGAGAAGAAAATGATGATATATATATACACACATACCAGTAACAACATCCAAGTGATGAACAGAAGAAATTTGAGGTCCATAACGAAACGTTTGTCCACTAATTCCGGCATTAGAGAGAGTTCCACCAACAGTTAAGTAAAGATAATCAGTCCAAGAAACAGGTGCAAGTCCATATTCAAGTGTTTCATATAAAACATCAATCCACAGTTGTTCCCCACCAACATCAACATAGTATCCAACCTTAGAATCTCCAAAAACCTTAATCCCCTCATTAACATTATTTTTCATTTTTATATTATTCTTAACCACTGCACGATCTTGTTCTCTTAACCCTTTCATGTCAACGACGACGCCGTCACGTGCCATGGCTTGTCCACGCGTCGAATGGCCTTGTCCTCTCGCCGCTATACGAAACGGGACAGAACTGTTGAACGACAGCTTAATGAGAATTGCTATGTCGTTCACAGTTGTCGGACGAAAAACAGCTGCTGGTAATTCGTGTACGAGGTTGCCGTAGTCGGTTGAAGCTTCTTCAAGGGCTTTTGGGTTGTATATGAGTTTTTCAGATATGTTGTTGTTTGTGGATAACTCTGTTGGTAGTGAGGATTTCCATTGCTCGGTTTTTCCAACGGTGGATATTAAACGTGGTATGGTTATTATTAAGAGAATGAAGTATATTGGAAAAGGGTAACTTTCCACCATTTTTGTGTGTGTGGATGGAGAGAATGAATATAAGAGAAGAGAGAAATGGTTTTTGGTTTGGTTTGGTTTGGTGATGAAGTGATGTGGTTTTGTGTAGTGTTTGTGGAAGAAGGGGAAAGAGGGAGCGGCTATAAATAGAATAGAAGAGGACTTTGCATGATAAAAGATGGAAATAGGTGTGTGTTTCAGAGAGAGAAGAATCTTTTGTCTTTTAGGTTTAATAATTGAAAATTGCTGACTTTATAATAACTTGCAGGGAGAAAAGATTTTATGACAGTTGTTAATTCAAAATATAAACTTTATTTTTATATGTATTATAAACTTTTTCAATGAGATTTTATATAACCAAACCAAAATTTAAACGTTGTTTTAACGTGTATTAAAAGTCTATTGAATAAACCAAAATAAGTTGAACCAAGTAAGTATATGTTAGAAGTTGAGTTTGCTTGAAATCATTCTTTCATGTATAAAGTGAATGTCAAATTTAATGTGTTTGATTCTAATATGGATTTATGTGACAATATTGTTGCACTTAGATTATCACACATCAAAGTTGTAGATAGATAGTTTATGTTTAGTTCAAATAAGAGTGACTTAAGCCATATTAGTTCAAAAGTGGTGTGTGTTAGATTTTGATATTCAACCTTAGCGCTTGATCTAGCCATAAGTGGCTAGATCTTTAAGTTTTAAGAAATTAGATTCAACACATGAATTTGATATTGATCTTCTATCGCTTAGATCACTTACCCAAGCACACGTTGGTAGTAATCCTCTATTGGAATTTGTCGATTGTTTGAAAACCACAATTGATGAGAGAGGTTATGAGTACTTATACCTTGCATTCAGAAGACATGGATGCTCAAGCACTATGACAAATATTACATTTGATGACAAAGCTTTCACCTCACCCAACAAAAAAAATGAGATAAAATTATATGATGCGTTATCTTCAAAAGCTTATCATATATTTCATAGGTTTTAAGAAAAAAACCTTAGGGGTAAACCAATTCGATACATGCTTCGAGTCTCTGCAGTTTTTGTTTTTTTCTTCTTTAAAAGTGATGTCTTTCTTATTATTTAAGAATTTATTTTATTATAAATATTCTATTCCATTGGATTCTTAAATAACTTAGGGGTATCATACCTACATTTTACTATAAAGGGATTCCTTCACTATGTTTTACCCGAAATCTAACTCACAAGTTCAGTCATTTCATACTCTTAAACACCATTATGTCTGATGGATTGTGAGACAAATTTTTTTTTTGATTCTGTGTTGTTCTTCTTACACTAATCTTTAACAAATCATTATCATGTTCTTGCAATCTATCTCACGTAATGGTATTGTTTTTGTTCTTGTTGTTGTTCACATGAATGTTTAATGGAAAAACTTTCCAATGTTGTTAATCAAAGAAAATTTTCTATAATATATATTGATTTCTTCGGTTAACAACATTTAGAAATTTATTCTTAATCATATTGCAATGCACAAAGAAATTGGTGAATGGTAAAAAATAATTGAAAAAGGAAACAATACACGTTTCTTCAATTTTTTCATTCACCATTTTTTAGAAATAGAAGTAATCTATTACCTCGTCTCTTTAGAAACCAAGGTTAAAAGTACCAAATTTATTGTATTTTTTATTTAAAAACAAAACCTTTTTACCTTGGGTTTAAGTCATAACCGAAAGAAAAAATAATCTTGTTTATTGAGTTTCTTTGCGGTCATTAAACAAATTTTTCTCGTCCATTTAGTGAGTATCAACGCTTAAGACACTGTCATTAGTGATTCGCATGAAACCTGAAAGACATTCATTCAGAAGGTTCATGCTACATTATAAAAGAATTTTGAATATCAAAAATTGATCATGAAAGTATTTGTCATAAAATTTTTGAAACTTATTTGTTTTATATCAAAAGCATTGAAACATTGTTCTCTATGATGGATTGAAAGAGAAAAAAATCGGGTTTAAGATTTGTGTTCTTAAATAATCATATAACTGAATATTTATTTTATTTATCTAACCATTTTTTTTTTGTTTTATATCAGAAACAAATGCATGCAATATTCAACATTTGATTTTTCCAGAGATTCAAAGAAATTAGGATACAACATTTGTTCTTCACCAACAATGATGACGATGAATCAAATTTAAAAATTGCTATATATTTTACTTTAATATTCTGTGTAAATAATATAACATTATGTGTAAATAATGTACTTTGTAAATAATTTAATTTAATATTCTGTATAAACAATGTAATTTGTATTTTATAAAAATGTTTCCCCTTGGTTTTGGTGATAAACCGAGATGTATGTGGCGCTAGTTTTTAAAATATAAAATATGTTGTTGCTGAGGATCGAACCAATGATCATTTCAAATATCTCATAGGTTATTCAAAAACTGAGGAGTAAAGTGACAAGTTTCATGACACCCTTCGTTACCTCACTTGTATAACTGAGGTGAAATCTCATTCGTGTCCGAGGTAACATCTATTTTTTGTAGTATTGAGGGTAATGAAAAACGGAGTGGTTTAGCAAAAATAGAAACACCTAGTCATGGTAAAATTGACAAGAATCGTGGATGAGATTCAAATTTAGTTGACATTTTGTTTTAAGAAAGAAATGAAAAGAAGATGAATTGAGAAAAAAGAATAGTAAATTGAATTTTTAATAGTATTATGATTATTGAGCGAGTCATACAAATTACATTACACATATACGAGTACTTATACTTTTAAAGCAACACTAGATCAATTTCTATAGTTGTATTACTCAACAACATGATCCTTTAACTCGATTATGAATTAGAAAACTACTTAATCAATTGAATTTTTCCTAATCCATTTCCAAAATACTATAAATTTTTAAACCTTTTGTAAATATATCAGCCAATTGAGATTCGATTGAACAATACATCACTTCTATTCGCCAGTTGTTCACTTCCTTCCTCTAAAAATAGAAGGCTATAAGTGTTACATTGTCAAACTTTATCTCCACAACATTCTACATTGGAGAAATATATTATTGGTACATAATCTTTCTCACCATGTTCTAAAAATAAAAAAATCATAGCCTAGTGTACCATTCATGTATCTTAGTATTCTCCTCACAACATTCATGTGATATCATTTGAGATTATCAACAAACCTTCTTATTAGACCAATTATATAGCATATGTTAGCCATGTTATTCAAAATCACATTAGTAACCAAACAATTTACTTAAAATTTGTTGAGTCCACTTTGTCCTCTTCAGTGTTTTTCTCAAGTTTGAGGCTTACTTCATTTGGTGTGGTTTCCTGGATGAAATCAATGATTTTAGACCACTTCATATCTTGTATTGTATATGTTCTATGATGCAAGATAATTTCTTTTGATGTTTATGCAAATTACACGTCTTAAAAGTGTGATAGTGTTTCCCAATCTATCATTCCAAACTCAAACATCATAACCTCCTTAAATCTCTTTATCTCAACAATATTATTGTCAATTACCATCAAATCATCAACATATTAACATATATAGATTATGTTTGATGTTGCATATTGCACATGAATACCATATTCAACTTTGCACTTAATGGATCTTAATTGAACAAATAATTTGTTTGTTCTTTTGTTCTAGTCTCTAGAGGTCTTCTTAAGGTCACACAAAACCATATGAAGCTTGTGCACAACTCTTTGTATATGTTACATCTACCACTAAAATGACTATTTTAGTCTTTGCAACAAGTGCATGTATCTCTAAGTAATCAAACACAATCATTTGAAAATAATTGTATTTCCATTAATCTTTCCTTGTGATATTCAAAAGGTCTATATGGATTATGTCTTATTTTGTACACTTGTTTGACATCAATTAATATATGGTCTTAGGACAACTTAACAAAGATTCCCAAGTTTATCAACAATCTAATCTTTCATATTAACCTTTCAAACCTATATCTTTAGTGTTTCATGTTTATTAATTGGTTTTTGTTAGGGAGTCTGAGGAAGTTGTAAACACCAACGAGACGTGTGCTCTAGGACCACAAGAGAGGGAAACGCAACATCTTCATCCAAAAGTTCAAGGAATTAAGTATATAAATCATCTCTCTTATAAATTCAACATTCCATTCATTCATAGTCGATGTGGGACTTAACTCACGCTTGCACCCAATAGTCTTGCATCCACTAAATTGAATTAACTTTTCTATTATACTCATTCAAATTCTGCAGCATTTTGGCACCAAAATTCACTTGTTTCATTATGAGAATATTCTAGATCACCTCATTTTAATTCTCATACCTCATCATAATTAATTCCCATCATACACCCTCATTAATCACCACTTGATCTTGATTTTACCTTCTAATCCAATTTCCAAGCCTAGATTAAATTTCAAACCAAATTCTAAACCACCAAAATTCTCAAGCCTAAATTCTATAAATAGAGTCCTCATTTCATTCATTTTTCAAACTTTTGATAGCCAAATTCACCTTGTCAAAACTCTTCCTCATTCTCAATTTTCTTCATCTACCCAAATTCACCAAAGCTCTTTCTTCCATTAAAAGTTAATAAGCTTTTCATTGAAGCTTACTAATCTTTGAGCTAAACCTCCATCAAAACCCTTTATCAACATCAAATTATGTAGATCAAGGATTTGGAGTGTGGTTCTTGAAGTTGATTTGAAGCATTTTCAGATTTGGAAGCGGTAAATTCTTATTCCGCCATTGTTGTATTTGATTCATCTCCTACAATGTGATCTCTTGTTAATTCTTGTTGCTTGATCTTTGGATATTTCAAATTGTGTTTCATTGGTGTTATTTTTTGTTTTCTTACTTGAATTTTTGTGCTAAATTGCATTCATGATCATGAGGTGTTTGAAGAAATGATTGAGTTATGGAATGCTGATTTTTTCAAATTTTTTTGCTGTTCTTCCAGTGTTAATCAATTAACCAAAATACGCATAGAATTGGTTAATCAATTAACACTAGTCAGAAGTGTTTTTTGGCTTG